ACGACAGATGAATTTAAGCATTAAATTACACTATAAACTTCTAAATTGGCTGCTACAAAATTTCACTTATCACAAATAAGAAAAATTATCAATAATTTTTTTAAAAATAAAAAAATTTTGTCTCTAGTAAAAATTTAACCGATGTTTATAAGACTGGCAATTTTACGTTGTTAATGCTGATACGATTTCTGCAGTGATATACCCTATAATCACTGCAATCTGCTGTTTCAAATTCAGTTCAAAACTTGAAACCTCCTTAGTTTGGTGGTTTAATTTTCTTTTTAGCCAATAAAATTAACGAACAATAGTCGAAATCAGTTTGTTTTTGCTTTTTTATAACCAGAAGAAACGATGAAGCTACCAAACTGAAAGCAGAAGCTTTCTCAGTTTGGTAGTCTATTTTACTGTTAAAACAAATTTAGAAAAAATAAAATGTTTGATTGCTTGATTGTTGTCAAAAAACAAGTAATTATTGCATATAAACTTACGTCAATTTTGCAAAATAGTCGTCAGGAAGATTTTTAATTTTGCAGCTATTCATGCTCAAATTTTTTAAAGCAGTTAATGAGTCACCGAAGCCGAATGGTTTGCTGCTGTTTTTCCAGTCAAACAGCTTAGGATTTCCGTCTAGAATCAAACTTTCTAATGTTGGCATTGTTGAAAAAACCTCCACTGGCAGTGATTGTAGCGTATTTTCTTCCAAATTCAGGTATTTTAATTTCCATTTGGCACCTTGAAACCAAAATCTGTAAAAGTTTAGTTTTTATTTTGACTATTTATCATCATTGCATAAACACTGCCATTTAATTTTTAAAACAATCTAATTTATGCATTTTTCTATAACACACAGTACAGTATATTACAGTATGAATTTAATTAAAAAATATAGACAAAGAAATTGTATTTGTTCGATTAAGTAGTAAAAATTAAACAACCAAATTTCTAGGCTAATATTTTTATTAAATATTCATATTAAACTAAGGCAGTACACTGTAAACAGCGTAAAAACTTACGCTTCAATCTTTTTGAGGCGATTACCGCTTAAATCTAAAACTTCCAAATTTATCATTTCATCAAATGTTCCATTTTCAATTTTGCTTATTCGATTAAAATTGAAATACAGTTCGACCAAATTTTTTTCATGACCAGGTAATATTTTATTCTGTAAAAAAAAAAAAA